CACGAATTCTGCTGCAATCGGCGCAATCTTGTATTCTATCATTCTTGATTTTTGCCGACCCCATTGTACACTAAAGTCAACCCTTGCTGCATGGTTGAGGCGTTTTTGGTGTATTGTTGAGCCCAAATAATTTTTCACCCTACGCTAGGGCTACACACAGTGTTGCCAGAACTTTTTGGACGAACCGGCTAAATTGGCAAATAAAACCGGCTAAAAACGGCTTAAATGTTTCAACTAAATTTCACATGTTTTATTTAAATAAATCACGAGTAAAAAGACTATTTCTTGGAGAGAAGTTACAAATTCGAGCCGGAAAAAGTTTTCCCAGCAAGAATTTGCAATTATATATAATTTGAATAAACCAGTTTGTTAAATTTAAAAATTTACAAACTGGAGCGATTTTAAAATGAAAAGTGTTAGTTAATACTTGTTTACTTAATGAATTTAGTTAATTCCAATGATTTGAAAGGTACTCGACAAAAAAAGCTATCTATTACTATTACTATCTGATATTTTGAGTGATAATTGTCTTCCCTACAAGGCCTTTTCAGACTGACCGATTCTCAATACAATCAGATAGAGACCAATACACATAAAAAACGCTGTAACAATTTCCCTTCAATTTTAAGGCAGTAAAGCAACGACCTTAAGTTAACATCAACCGAGGCCATATATTGACAAGGGATGCAAAATCACAGTTACACAAAAGAACTGGTCAGATTTTTCAGAAATCCCTTCAATTCTGATGTAAAATATGATGCCAAAAGACTGCAGATCTACCATTTAGATGACCGGTCATATGACCGGCAGATGCCTCGTAGGATTCCCAGAGAGTTTTGCTTTACATAGAAATTTGTGCTCTTTTATTTTCATTTTGACTCACTTCAGTGTTGGTTCCGTTAATTCAAGTTGGCATTCGGTTTTTGGAATTTAAATAAAATCTCAGCAAAAAAGTTTGTTTATAAAAATACATATGTGTACATAGTGCTTGAAAATATCAATTTTTCCCTTACCTTAAACCTTTGGGAGTGGGCAAAAATGATGGTTTGTAATTTAGGCAGAATTGAATATGCGCTATCTGGGGAGACAATATCTACATGTAATATTTACTCTGTTTGTTGGCACTATGTCCAAACACAAACGAATCTTAAGTGTCTTAAGAGTAAAAAAAACTCTTATTTTCTAAGTTTGCAAATACAACTTCACACTTAAAATTAAGACATTTATAACAAACATTTTATGAAGAAAATCCCTTCTTCGTTTAAAATAAAAATAAGCGAAATCGGCCCAATTTCATGCAACCCTGCCTGACATGAAAATTTTCTCCACGATAAGGCTAGTAGCTATTTCTAACAGATTTTGGGTCGCTTAGTCAAAAATGGAAACATATATACATATTTGAAATTTAAGAAAACGAGACAAATAGCAAAATCGGCTAAAAACGGCTAATTTTTTCCTGCAAAACGGCTAACAAATCGGCTGCCGGCTAAATCGAAATTTCTCCGGCTGTTTGCTATCGCAACCGGCTAAATCTAGCCGGAAAACGGCTAAAATGGCAACACTGGATACACAGCAGAGGTGCACGCAGTCGACGTCGCGGGCTACTGCGAGCACGCGAGTGTGAAGTGAGCAGTACGAAAATGGCAACGTATACATATTAACCACTTCACACTTAGTTTCAAGTAAAAATGCGTGTATGTATTTGTACTTTTGCGACAACTGAGCCAGTGTGGCATCAGACCACCAGAAAAAGCCAATTTTTCCAAAACAAAAGCGCCAAGTTTTTATTATCATGTTTAATAATTTTTTTGATTCAGTAAAAAGTGTATATTCATATCCATTACCGGACGTTCTTATTAATAAATTAATTTCAATACATTTATAACAACTCAAAACATATTTAATTTACCTATTCCTCACACTTTATTCAGTAAATGAATTCCATCTTAATGTAGAATATTAGTGTATAGTGTATACATACATACATATGTAACTATGCATTCGGTGTGCTTAAATTAAAAAAGCATCACTAAATAACGCACCAAGCATTGAATTCCAATTATTTTGGCTTTTTGGTTTCCCAAAAGAACTAAATTTTGTGCAAAATGCATGACCTTGGCAACAGTGAGCTGGGCACATCAATACTCAAACAGTGATGCCAGACCAAGTATTGAGTAAATGCGCTATGTATATTTTTCTTTTAAAGCAAAAGTTCTAATTGGCGAGGTGATTGATTTTTGGTTCTTACATAGAACACTGATAAGATTCACAAACTTATCTTAGGACTTAATTAAAATAATCAACATTATTTGTAGACGAATATATTTGTGTTCGTATGAAATAGTAGCCTATGTCGGGAGGCTGGCTTTAGTAAAATGTACCATTTCCTATATTCTTTAAACCACAAGGAATTTTTTTATGAGACTTTATACGAATATTGACTTGCTAGCATCGCAACTGCCTCTTTTACGTTTATTTTCCAATAGTTCTTCAACGACTCGGCGCCAGTGAGTCTTTCACAATCGTATGCTGCGAATGGTTAATTATACTAAAGCCAGTCTTCCGACATAAGCTACTATTCTATACGAACACAGATATGTATACTTCCTAATAGGCTTGTAAAATGCCCAATACCCAAATCTCTCGCATGAGTTATTATCGGTAAAAAATTGGGTACGCTCAAATCTGGCATCGCTGCAGCAAGTACTTTGTCACGCCAGTGAAACAGTGTTGATATTTTAAGTACAATTGTACTTTTTTCATTACAATTAATTTTAAAAAGTACAATAGTACAGTTTACCGATTTTAAGTACAATTTCAACATAAAAAATACTTTTTGTACCAAACTCTCAAATCTCTTCTAGCACTTTGATTCTTAATCCGTTTACATTTAAGTAAATCAGTGATGCACACGGGAGTCTCCGGGAGCTACTCGGCTTTCACACACAAGTCGTGTGTGCGCAGCTACCGAACTTAAGGCCCCGCCAGATAGAAATTCTTTTCTGCGTCACAGGGATGCTTTTGACTGACAAGACGCACATAACATTGCGAGGCGCCACAATGCAAACGTTGCCGCAAACAAAACGGCTCATTTTGATTGGCCATAAGTCAGTTGGTCTGAATTCGTTCCATACATTGTTGTTTTGCCGCATTGACGCGCGTCAAAAGTTAAGAGTTGGGCGATTTTTATCAGTTGCGGCAATGCATGCGTTGCCAATGTGGCGTCTTCTACTCAAAATCCCAGAGTTAACTTCGATGTCAGTAAAAAGTATCCCTGTGACACAGAAAAGAATTTCTATCTGGCGAGGCCTTTATGCGCCGCTAGCAGCCGGTCAGTTTGCGTTTGTACTTCATGCTGTAAGCATCACATGCGCGAGCTGTTTTGCTGAGGACACACATACAGATACAAAAATATTGCGCTTGAATTGGGAGCTCTGCCAACGCTGTGCACCACTGAAGTAAATGGATATACCCATGATTCAATAATACAAGGTTCGATAAATTGACAGTTGTCTCTCTCGCACCGCTCCCTTAGCAGTGGCACCGTGTTGCTTCTTTGCAAATTTACATGGAAACAGTGTAGCTTTGGCGTGAAATAAAAGTATAAGCTTTTGTGCAATATGTTCATTTGTATATGCATATGAAGCATATTTAACTGATGAAAACATAAGCATTGGATGTTTATATCAATCTCATAGTAGTCTTATTTTAATTTTGAGTCATTTTGCAGTTTTTATACAGCTAAATAGCATATAAATTACGTAATTCACGTAGATATATAAATATTACGTTCAACATTTCGTTTAAAATGCCAGATTTCCTGCAAATACTTTAGAATTTACAAAAGGAATTTCATTACTAATTGCCTACTTTGCGTACTTTTCTACTACCATTTTCGCAACAAGGGATTACATTCTTGCCCTTTCTCTGTCCTTCGCAAATGCAACCTTTTGTAAGGGAGTGTCAAACCGCAGCTGTCAATAATTATCTAACCTTGTATTATTGAATCATGGGATATACCTATATTTCATATTTGCTACAAAACGAAATTATGGATTGTAATTTTGAATGTAAACGTGATTGTGGACAGTAATATTAGTGATGTGCGTTATGGTGATTGCGATTTCTTATCACCGGCGGGTGAAATATCCCCCATCGCTATTTATTTTGAAAAAATCTTTGGAAATGCTATTTACCTAATGGCGATCCTGCAGAAATAGGAGTATTTGAGCAATTCGGGGGTTGAAAGTTAAAAAATGTATGTAAATTCCATGCGTTGAAATTGAAAACTTCCCTTAAGGATTTCCATTTTATCGATAGTGATCTCATTATATGTTCATTAATATGAACTGACCTATATAGTGTATTAATGTTTTATCATCATTGTCTTCATCTTTGACAAAATTACACGGTCACCCGGTATTTATTTTATTTTTTTAAATAATTTTAATTATTTTTTTTTATAAAATTGTAGCTCATTGTCAAACAAAAACCTTGCAAATAAATCCAAACTTGAAAGATTGAAAAAAATCAACAAAGCTTCATCAAATTTTCTCAGTTTTTGTTCAGAATTTGTAGACATGTTTTGGGTTAACATTTTTGTAGCCCATTGATTCTAGTATAATAAGGTGCAAGATTGAAGTGTCTATAAAATACCATTGATTTTTTGAATTTTTCTCTTTGCGGTGTTGCGCACTAGGAAATCTAATTAAAAAGCTCGAAATTTTTACGAAAGTGTATTGATTTTTTGAGTGTTGCAAAAAGAGTGAACCTTGGATTTGTACGGCTTTTTTTGAAGTATAAACCGTATTTTTATAAAAAAATAAGTACATAATATTAAGATAAATGGTCAAATCTTGTCCAAATGTAAGTGTCGTAAAGTTTTGATAAGAACTTGAAATGCTATTAAAATGTCAAAACTTATTACCGAATCCAAAAAGATGTCTCTTTTATCCATTAATACTAACTTTGTTGTTGAGGTTATGCTAGCGCTTTTACGAAAAAGCTTGTTCACGGCAATAAAATCAATAAAGGCACAGTATGCCGTTTTATAGTCGATTCAATTTTAGTATTATTAAGTGAAAGTGCAGCTAAGAATTTATGTTGATTTTTAATATTTTTTTGCATTTTCTTCATACAAATTGGATGTACAAAAATTTCAGTATGGAAGAAAAAGTGCAACACCTTCAACGAAAAAAGTTCTCAAAAATCTACGCGAATTGAGTGTACTGGCCCGATCGTTTAAACATCTCGGACTCGCCCGCCACTGAAAATGATTATTTAAATCTAATGTTAATATTAAATGATATTCAATATTTGCTTTAGAGATGAAATTTCGACAAATTTGTTTAAACAAAAATGTTAAGCCCATATGCAGAATGTGGAAGCGAGATTCTTCTGCTTGCGTTTCTATGTTTATATCATTTATCAGTTTAAGCACATACGATTAAATGTAAAAAAAAAGATTTTTAATTGCGGATCCAAAAGAAATATTTATTAGTTGCATTGAGTTACCCAAAAATAGTGCCGAAAATCAATCGATTGTGCTGAAGGTGCCGGCTGCTTCCGAAAGGGCCGAAAATGGCACAATGCACACTCATTTTCCATTACTGTCACACATACAATCTCACTATTCTGTTGACTTCGTTTTCCCCTTCCGATAACTTTTTGCTTCCGCGCTTGCCAAGCACCGCTGTGCAAAGCTTTGCACGCGCAGTCGCCCGCCACACACATGTGCTGATTTGGGCATCCCTACCCTACGCAAAACAGAAAAGCTCCTCTCGTTAGAGCATGATGACCCTGGAATTTTAACAAGCAACCTAATGCTGTAAACACATAAAGGGCTTGTGGCGTGTGGCGTGCAGCCTGTCAAATTAGAATACACGTAAAGCACATGCGCCGAACACAATCCACAACACAAGCCAGGGTTGTCGTGCGATTGCACACCAAGCTGTAGACGGACAATTTCTATTTTCCAATTTGACAGGCGTGCGAAGAGAAAATGACAGAATATTTGCTCTCTGTTGACATTTCGTTCATAAATTCAAATCAAACGGCTTTTAATTTATTGTGCATACGTTTCCAACTATATTTATTTTATTTATTTAAAACAATGGCTTCCGATGAAATTTTAACTAGCGAAGAGCAAAAATATCTACTTTTGTACAACCTTAAGGATGAGGGGTATAAAAATGCTCTGAAAAAGGAGGAAGTGTGGTTGCAGATAAGCGAAGTATTGGGCCAAGAAGGTAACAATTTGTTTTTTTTTAATTCTAAAGATTTTCACCGAGATATTATTTATTTCACAGCTAATGTATGTAAAAAGCGCTGGAAAGGTTTGCGCGACCATTATTCGCGGTGCAAACGGGCCGAGACTTTGCCATCAGGAAGCTCCGCTAGCAAGAGGACGAGATGGAGGTTCTATGACCAAATGTCATTTTTGGACAACTTCCAGTACTGCCGGAGGTGAATATAATTACATTTCTTATATACGAGTATATGTATATGCACATATATGTATGCGTGCAAGTGATAAATCTGTATTTATATAAATTTTTTACTATTTTAAGAACGTGGAGCAATGTTTTCGAAGTGGAGGAAAGTGTTATTGAAGTGCAGGGAGAAGAAGACGAAGTACACACAGCAACACGCCAATCGCGACGCAAACACGACATGGTATGTACGTTTATTGTTATAAGCAGGGAAGACAATTTTAATGATCATAGAGTAAAGTTTTTTGTGCATATTTTTGTCTTCCCTAGTTATAAGTGTATATGGGCCAGAAATCTGAAAGATTATTTTTTCCTTAGATTGATGACGACTTTCGTTTTTTCCTAGAGGAAACTTCAAGTTCCCTGAAGGAAACGTGCGACACATTTGCTGCTGCTGCAAATAGCATTACAATCGCAAATGCTAATAATGTGCCAAATGCTTCCGCGAGTATGTTTCAAGGAATTGCTCAAATCATTACGGCACACAAGTTTAACCCGCAGGAAGAAGCGACGTTGGTGGGAAAAATTACCACATATGCTTTGAACGAAATAGCAAAAATGCGTGAGTATGTGAATAGTGAGTATGTATATTAGTGAGTATGTATATTAAAATAGAAAATGTTGCTAGTATCAGTTATGTACTTATTTACTTATAAAAGTATAAAGGAATTTCGATTATTATGTACTTTGGTACGTACATGCATATGCATATGTAAGATATTTACAGAACATGTATTTTTGTAGATATTTACTTGGCACATATGTATGTATGTAACTACAAAATATTAACAGATATCAATTTTGGTAACATATAAGTATAAATTTATATACTATATATTTACTCATTCAATACATTTTAATTAATTAATTAACCATTTCAAATAAAAGATGTATTCAATAAGTAAATATATATAGATTTATACATACATATTTGTTACCAAAATTGATATCTGTTATTATTATCTACTAAATGTAAATACGATTTATTTATGTAGGTATGTACGATTCATTTACTTAATAATCTATATAAAGAAAATATCAACACAAATACATGTGTTGTAAATGTCTTACATATTGGTACCTTAATATAGAAAGGCCCTATATAACATCGTGGTTGAAATGCAAAAAAGCGGTAACTAACTAAAATTGTTTATTGCATAAAACGATTTGGAAACTTATAATTCGATGAAATGTATCATCATCAATCAAAACGTGAATTTTGCATTTTTAGTTAGTTACGACTTTTTATATTTCAGTGACGATGTGAGATAAGGCCTTGCATGTGCGTATCAAAGTACATAATGATCGTAATTGCTTTATTCCTTTATAAGTAAATAAGTACATAACTGATACTATTACGTCCTTCTATTGTAATATACATACTCACTAATTACAAATGTACATATGTTATATCATAGTTAGTAGTTGATTATTAGTATGTATTTAAGTTTGTGAATTAATTTATTTTATATTATTTTATTGTTTGTTTTTAATGATCTCATTGAATTTGCGTTAAGATTGTTGTTAATTTTTAACTGTTTTTGTAAAAAAAGTAAATAGAAAAGGTTTAGTAATTAAACGCAATTAACGAAACTTCAAAAATTTTCATCAAAATTTCTAATCAGAATTTTTAGAAAATTTTCGGGTACGCAGTTTTGTAGCCCTTTGAATTTCAGTCTCCTAAGTGCAAGTTTCAAATCGCCAATAATTACACTGTGAGACAAATGGTAGGGGTCAGTGATCGGGAAGGGTTCAAACTACCGGGGAAAGTTATATCGGTAAAAATTTAGAATTTTTTTTGTGGAGGGTGTTGCGCGTTTTCTTCCATATAACGCGCGATCAAAATCTATTTTTATATGGAAGAAAATGCGCAACACCCTCCACAAAAAACATTCTAAAAAATCAACGGTAATTATTGGCGATTTGAAACTTGCACTTTAGGAGACTGAAATTGAAAGGGTTACAAAACTGCACACTTGAAAACTTTCTGTAAATTCTGAATAAAAATTTTTAAATTTGGATGAACATTGTTTGAATTTTTGTGAACTTTACATATAAAGTGTGAAGCTTTGATTTACATGATTATATATATATAATTGTGAATATTATATTAGAATAAGGTGTACACTTACATTTGACACTGACTGTATGTACATATATTCTAAATGAAAATTATTAAAAATAAATAAATAAACATAAATTGCAATCAACATCATTTTGAGTTTTCGGTTATACATCTTTCACCATTGTTGTATGTATATAAATATATGTATTATTTTTTAAAAAGGTTGTATTTAAACAAGGCACAGGACTAAAATTTATAAAATACAAAAAAAGACGAACAGAATTTTTATAACAACTTTAGTATTTTCGAACTCCAAGAAATCAAAGCGATTAAATATCCAAGTACAGGTTTTTATCAACTAGAAATTAAATAACAAAGTTGTTTTTAATTTAATTTAATGTATGTACATATTTGTTTTTTTTAAGTTCTTTTTGAACCTCTTATTAAAATCATACAGTGGGAAGCAAACCTGAGTGCATGGTGATTTTTATTAAATATTGGCAAGGCTTTTAAAGTAAAATTTTCCTTCAAACTGTATTTTCTTTTTTTTTAATTTCTTAAATCACTAAGTTTTTCTTATTATCACTATTTTTTTGTCCAGTCTTTTTGCGTTGTTTGATCTTGCCAGGTTGTTGCAATTTTTCGAATATCACCGCCAAGAGGAAACCATGTAATTACAATATCTGAATGTGGATAAATAAAACTTTATTTTGAGAGTAGTGTGCAGATTTCTATTAGTGATTTCATACCTTTACGCATGCTGCTATCTTGTCTCCATTTTTCAACCGAAATCCATTAAAATGTCCATAGTAAACCGAGTAAATGTGATATATTAGTTAATTAGTTTAGTTGCGGGTATATGAAATCTTTTAAAATATTTCGGAGCTCGAATGCTGATGTAGAGGACCGATTTGAAACTGTGTTGGAAATGCTTTGAAGGGAATTTTGATCATCGTGATCTCTGTGAGCATTGGTAATATAACTATTGTCTCTATGCAGCATTAAGAAATTATGCAGTACTATAGTAGCTAACACAACTTTGTCAGCGTTCTCTGGATTGGCATGAATGTTTGTATGAAGGACTCGCCATCGATTTGCTAGAATGCCAAATGCATTTTCGATATGTACACGAGCTTTTGATAAAGCTTTGTTAAATGCTGTTTTATCCGGGGATAAGAAATGGCCAGGAAAAGGTCGCATTAAATTTTTTTTTAGGGGAAAGGCATTATCAGCCACAAAGTAATAGGGAAAGTTGATTGAAGTATGAGGTAAAGGTCGGTCCGGTGGCACTTCCAAGGTTCCGTCTAAAATTTTTTTACCAAAGGCGGTTCTACTAAATATACCGCCATCGCTTTGAGAACCAAATGATCCAACGTCAACATAGGTGAACACATAGTTGGCATCACAAGCCGCTAATAGTGTGATGCTAAACCGTTTTTTATAATTAAAATAAAGTGAGCCACTTTTTCTTGGACGGAACATATTAATATGCTTGCCATCAATTGCTCCCACGCAATTTGGCATTCCAGTTTTTATGAAAAAATCATCAGCAATTTTCCGCAGTTCTGTGACATTTGGTGGAGAAACGTAAATAGAACCGAGCTCAACCCACAGTGCATCATATGTTTCATAAATTATTTTTCGCACAGTTGAAATGCCAAGCTTATACGCCCAAGCCAGAACTTGTACATTAAATCCTTGAGCTAAATACCTGTAACATAAAATTTCGGCGTGTGTTTTAACCTTGGAAAGTCATCCTTCGTCGATTCGACGAACTGACAGGGATGACATTCAAGGATTAAAAATCAGTAGTATTTTAGATGCAGTAAGATTTGAGAACTTAGTCCGAAGTTATAGGAACAGCGTTCTGCCACGTGTAAGACATAGCTGAAAAACACCGGGAACGTTTTCCTGTAACTTTAGACAAAAACCTGCAAACCTTCCTGAATCTAGAACACTAATATTAATACTTACAAAAGCATTACCGATACCGTGTTTCAACTCCAATTGGGGGTCGACGAGACATTCGCTGCAATTTTTCTCTTAACAGTGAAATAAGTAAATTGTATGTTGCGACCGACATGCGAGTAGCTTTGAAAAAATACTCCTCATCTTGTGATTCCAACTGTTTAGCACAAGTTTTGAAAAACCCCAGCTCTTCGCGCGATATATTCAGTGGTCGTACCCACCAGCGTCGTTTTTGGCATAGTTTGACCGCCTTGTATTTTGCGTAGGCTTTTTTTACACATCCGATGTGCTTTATAGCAATTATAGTGAATTTAGAAAATAGCTCTTGAAGCTCCATTTCGCGTAAAACAACGAAACAAACACAAAAATACTTATAAACGTGGAATTTTCTTGAATATGTAGGAGCAGGGACTCCTGCTAGCTTTTAAATGTCACGATAATGGCAAACACAAATCTATCACTTTAACTAGCAAATGCACATGAAATTTATTAATATTTTCCGGAAATTTCTAAATATTGCGGCGTTTTATAAATTCTTCACGAGATTTGCAAATGTTTTCAGCGAATAGCGCCAAATTCTTTTGTGGTGACATTTCTTTGGTTGTCATTTCGCTAGGCTTGTCGCTCTCATTAAAAAATTACAAGCCAAGCGCGACATGACTGTGGAACGTAACTGCAAAGTTAGCCACACACCGCAAGCCCTTTATGTATTTACAGCATAATGAAGCGTACATGTTCAGAAACAAGTTCCACACACAATTCGTTTTCACGCAAAACTTACACAACATCTTTCACAGTTTCTGGATTTTGCTCTGCGCGCCATATCTTTATCGCTATAGAGTCTGCATTCGTCAAAATCACCATTATAAAACGTGACATTTTCTTCAAATTTACTGTCGCACCAAGAATGAACTTTTCTTAACCCAAATTGTCCCAGATTATTTTTTTTAAGATTTTTTTCGTTTCACCTATATACAGGGTAAAAGTAGCGTTAAAGTAAAGGAAAAAATATGACTAAAACTTTGGGAGTAGTATAGTTCCTCCGATATCGGCCGTTGCCATATGGCAACACGGGGCATATTCCAGATGGATTGTTAGAGGACAGTATTTGGTGAAAGAATGAAATAATAGAAAGATTGTGTATAAGTTTTAATACATTTATTGATAATATATGCATATTCTACGTGCAAAGCGGATGAAGAAGTAAATTAAAAGTAGCAAAACATTTCAAACATAAACCCACATCACATTTTGCACAGGCTACTTGTCCTATAGTACAAAGAAGTTGTTTTGTCACTTTGTATGGGTCAGTGGTGTAGTAACAAAAAGATATAAGGTCCCATTGTAGAGACCCCCGAGGCTAGGTATTTAGCATCGAGCTGTCAGTTAAAGACCACAGAAAGTATTTGGGAGTAGTCTTGGAGAGTAAGCTGCTGTGGATGCGCAAAGAAAGAGAGAAGAAGGCCAGTAACGCCCTTTAAGCATGTAAAAAAATGCTGGGAGTCACTTGGGGTTTGTCACCTACTCTGATGCATTGGTGCTACACAGCAATAGTCAGCCCAATACTGCTCTATGGCGCTTTAGTGTGCTGGAATGTCGCAAAAAAGTCCTTATGCCTCGGGCCAATGGAGAAGGTGCAGCGCCTAGCGGCACTGTGCGTCGCGGGAGCGCTGAGGTCCACTTCGACGGCTGCTCTTTAAAAACCCTGCAGCGAAATCCGCACGTAGATTGACGGACATAGGGAAATTAAATTTCAGAACCTTTGGGCACCACTTAATTGGGGCGGGAAGCACAAGCAGCACAGGCTTCATGGCACCTAGCTTTAAGTGGAAACGAACGTTTTGCACAACGATTGAGGAAGAGGGATGGAAATGAAACCTAGCCATAGATCCCTAAACATTTTCACGGACGGCTCCAAAATGGTTACGGGAGTGGGTGCCGGGATTTACTGCCGGGAACTGAGCGTCAGGCGGACAATAAGGCTACCGACCATTGCAGCATATTTCAGGCAGAGGTTTTCACAATGAGGATAACTGCAGAGCTAGCCCTCACCGAAACGACAATCAATTTAAACTAAAACCTATTCCAAGCGGCAATCAAGGCAGTTTCCTTATATAGTATTTCATCCATAAACGTCCCTCGCAGCCGGGAAGCCATTGACAAGCTAGACGCTGATAAAAGGCTACATATCTATGGGTTGGCCGGTCACAAGGGAATCCAGGATAATGAAGTAGCAGGTGAGAATGCAAAAAAAGCCACAAGTCTTCCCTGGAACAGACAAACTACATTTGTATACCACTTCAACACTTGTACAATGAAATATACGATAATATGATTAGGCAGTTCAGAGCTAGATGGAATGAGTTAACGACCTGCAAAAATACATACAAACGATTTTTGTTTACACCGTCTCATACATGATGGTATTTTGCGTTGCCATATGGCAACACGGGGTCAATTTGGGCTAGCGAACATATCAAAATTGGGTAAAAATATGAACAGTTCACATTTCGCCCCGTGTTGCCATATGGCAACGGACTTAAAAAACACTTAAAATATATATCATGCACGATTGTTTTCTATTCTTACTTGTTACCAGTCACTAATGTTTTAACTAATATTTTGTCACTATCATATTTTGTAAATAAAACAAGTAAGAAAGTCTAAGTTCGGGCGGAGCCGAACATTAAATACCCGGCGCAAGTATTAAATATATGTTTTCCACCTTTCCGAAAGCTACCGCTACATGATAAGCCGGGGTGTATAAATATTAAGAATATTGAAATTTCAAGCATTTCTGAAATTTACCGTTATATGAAAAGCGGCCGTAATTTTAGTCCGATTTCAACAATTTTCAAAGGTTTTCTTTTATGTGGCAAGCACAATAACCATACCGAGTTTAGTACAAATTGCTAAAACGGTTAGCGAGATACATATATGTGATCATAAGTGGGCGGTGCCACGCCCATTTTCAAAAATTTTATCATAAACGTATTTCTTGGTAAAGAATTGTTGCAACCATCAATTTCGAATAATTTCGAGGATTTCGTATTTCTCTAAATTACCGTTATATGGGATGTGGGCGTTATTGTCAGATTTTAAAAATTTTCGGCCGTTTGGTATGCTGTGCCAGGGCCAACAACTGTGCCAAGTTTGGAAGAAATGTGTGCAGCGGTTACCAAGTTATACACATGTAACCATAAGTGGGCGTGGCACGTGGGAAGTGCACGTACCAAGTTTCGTAAAGATATCTCAATTTTTACTCGAGTTATCGTGTGCACAGACGGACGGACGGACGGACGGACGGACAGACAGTCACCGCTTAATCGATTTCTCTTTTCATTCTGATCATTTATGTATACATTTGTCTATATCTATCTCGATTCGTTTTGCCTGTTACAAACAACCGTT